CCTATCACGAATTCATATGTTCATGTGGTAGCAAGAGTATAAAAACATAAAATTACCTTATAAATTAAAAGCATAAGTATCACATGTATGTGTAGTCCAATTCACGAAATCATTTCGTCGATCTGAGTAAAAACTAAGTGCATAAACTCTATTTCGCGTTAATTGAAATCACCAAACGGTGTTCATTCATTCAGTTTCTACACAAACGAATGAAATGATTTCATGAATTGGCCAACGCATAATGGTAGAAAATTACAGAATGAATTACAACAAACACATCCTTTTGACATAATTCAAGCCGAAAACGTTGGTTCAAATCAATCCGCAATCAAGTTGGACATTTTGCCCACAAACATTGCAATTTTGCGAGCAGTCTCCTTGTAAAATCTCATTTTTACAATTTCATAGTTTCGGCTTACATTTATAAAATTCAACGAAAGCACGTACCTATTTCGGCTGAGTTATCCATTCAACAGGCCAACAAACGGTGCAATGTAGAGCAAAACAACACCAAATTGAACCAACGGTCGCTACGTTTATGGCTTTCTTTAAGAAAGTCGGGCGAAAATTTCAACTGCTCCTGTGACAGTACCTTATAATAAGTTGGTCTTGCTATCATCCTCACATATGTTCATCAGAGTATACCAACGAAGGACGAGTTAATACAAGGAGATAGCAAGAGCACAAAACTACTCTAGAAAATTTTTATTTTTATTTATTTACAGTCTACAGAATTCAATTCTTAAAGACTAATTAGAACTATTAAAATAATTAATTAAATTGCATAAACAAATTTAATTTAAACTTATTAATATTCAGATCAAAATCAGTTAAACTTGAGTATGTATTACAAAGACTAACACATCTAGAAATTGGTTAATTATCACCATAATTCGTAGAGTGCGTTGCACATTCAAACAGCCGATTATTCCTCAGGGTTCGCGGTGGAATATACAATTTGAGCAAATTTGCAAGATACGTACAATTAATACGACCTTTAATAATATTGTATACAAAAATTATAGAGAAATACGTTCTCCTGTCATGCAAGGATTGCAATCCAAGTAACTTCCGCCTCTCAATATAAGAGGGGACGAAACTATGCCACGATAACTTACACAAAGCGATCTTTGTGAATACCTTTTGAACGCGTTCTATTCTATTTGAATGTATGTCGTAATAGGGACTCCATATTAGAGAACAATATTCAAGGCGACTCCGGACTAGTGAAATATAGAGAGATTTCAAAGTAAATGGATTCTTAAACTCTCTGGTATTTCTTCTTATAAACCCTAGCATTGCAAAAGCCTTGGATACAATATAGTCTATATGTTTCGAGAAAGTAAGTTTCGGATCAAAGATAACACCCAAATCTTTCATTTCATTGCATCTGGATAATGCGCAGCTATTTAACTCGTAGTCGTATACAATGTTATTATTAGCCTTCCTAGAAAATGTAAGAACGTAACACTTATGTAATTACACGCACAATGACAACCATGAGCAAACGTACAACAAACACATAATTTTTAGTACAGTTCGCATGTATATCAACGAGCAGCTTATTAGATTTATTTTCGTTTGTACTACATATGTGCATATATACATGTACACAAACATATGTACAGACACAAACATATGTACATACATACAAATATATATACAACCATTCAAACATATGTACATACATGAAAACATTGCTGTCCATAAGTACCCAATTTGCCACAGTGCAAAGACGACGTCGCTCTGGCGAAGTCGTTTTAGTGAACTCGAAACGACGTCGTTACGACGTCGCTTTGGTGAAGCCGTTACGACGTCGACCTGGTGAAGTCGTTTGGGTGAACTCGAAACGACGTCGTTACGACGTCGCTCTGGTGAAGTCGTTTTGGTGAACTCGAAACGACGTCGCGTTGGTGAAGTCGTTTGGGTGAACTCGAAACGACGTCGAAACGAAGTCGTTTTTTCCATACAAAATTCAACGTCGTTCCGACGTCGTTTTTTCTCATCGAATCGAAGTCGTTGCGACGTCCGTCTGGTGAAGTCGTTTGGGTAAACTCGAAACGAATCCTTTTCTTCGAACCTACAAGTTTTTTGAGGAACCTTCGGTCTAGGTTGGACAAGTTCCACGTCCAAATTTTAATATATCTAAGCATCAATAAAAGTCATTCATTTGGATAGTAAACCGTTTTTATTATGACAGTTTTTTATCATGACAGAATATGGAATCCACAATGTACACTTGTGCTCAGAAAATTAAGCCACCTACATCTTTTTTTCAGTATTCATAATGTTTTTCATATAAAATGTTTTTTTATAAAGGTAAAGTTCACTCTATTGGCCTCATTAATCAAAAATAAAATTTGTGGGAATAAGGTTGAGGTTGGTAGAAAACTGTACTTTTACTTTACAGCGTGGCGACGAACAACTGTTACCCAAGTTTTTTGAGAAATAAAACGATCCTTTATAGATTTTGCGAAAAAAGTATTTTATTGTTAATTTTCCCCAGATTTTACTTTAGTCGGATTAATTAGTGTTTAAATTGTAATCCGTATTGACATTTTCCAGCAGTGTAAACTTTGAGAGAAAAGTTCATTTGGCACGCAAGTCTTTTTCAGGTGACCGAAGGGACTCAAAGTGGAGAAAATTAGCGGCATCTCATCACAACAGCGGCAATTAGAAGTACGCTTTAATTGTTGATGCCCAGCTCTCAAAAATGATTAATATACTTTTAATATTATTTCAGAAGCGTTCCAGCAAAAATTCAACGAATCTGTGGAAATAATGGAGCGAATAACCAAAAGATATTTCCATTATGCTGGAGACAGGATCTCAAAACGGAATAAAAGAAATGTTTCACAGTCGTCTGCATAAATATACTATCTGTCATATTGATAAGTTTTAACAATTAATTTTTTTGTTACTTCATTTTAGTTATCTTTATCTTTATAAAAATTGGGTTTATTTTTTAACAAGGACCATATAGTTCAAAATTCAAAATTGCGCAATATACTTATGCATGTAGTACATATAAAAAAAATTAACAAGCTTTTATAAAAATTTTAAGATTTTTATTCTGCATTAAAGAAACACATATGAAGCAGTTTTAAAGTCCATTGAAGTTTGGTATATATAATAGGATACAAGGTTGAAGTGGCTCAAAGCATGCATTTTCTGTCATAAAATTCATATGGATTGAATTCGCAGTACAGCATTTATGTATATTTAAAAAACTTTGAAAAAAATTCAATGAATTAAATTAAACTATTTTAAACTAAAAAAATTGTTTTTAATTTTCTAGCAACTTTGAGCGTCGTTTTGCAGTTCGCTGGTATATTGTTCTTTCGGGCTGCAGGTGAGTCGTTTTTGCGACCCGCCGGCGAAGTGTGCTTTTCATCCGACGGTGATTTTTAGTTCAGTGGCCAAAAAGAAATACATCTGGTTCGATAACTTCCGAAAGCTCATTAGCTTTCTTCATTTTAACTTTTTGGCAACAATCTTCAAAACTTTTAGCTGGCCTACCAGCAGAAAATGTCGGCTTACCGAACTTAGAACACACAAATTGTGACAAGTCTATTTCAAATTCGAGCCAATCTTTATTTGCAGTAACAACCCGCTCTCTTTTTCGGAAAACTTTTGTCCACTTTAGGTCCAAATTCTGAATTAACTTCGCACGTATGATTTTAATTTAACAAATTTGATTCTATCACTACATCCTAAACTGGTACAAAATCCATTATTCCATCAAGTCTTTCATTTTTAGGGGTCGACAGCCAAAAATCTAAAATTTCCTGTCTTGAAATTTTAGGAGTCATTTTGAAAATCGAAAATAAATGTATGGGTGCCACAGCTAGCCGCAGAATTTTTGTGTGGATTCTATTAGTATATACATACATCTATTGAGAGAATAAGTATAGTAAGTGATCTATATTCCGCCATATAAGAAAGATTTCTTCTACAAAACCAAAAAAAAAATAATAATTTGGTACTCACCAAAAAGATTAAAACTTTATCAGCTCCAGAAAAATATGTGCGTCCACTTCGGTAATAATTTTCACATTTCCTGGATTTTCTTACTTAAAACAATGACGGAGAAAGAAATGAAGTTAAAACAAAGTTTCTTTAAACAAGTTATTGAGCCTTAAAAATACTCAGTTTTCATTGCACGCACAATTTCATTTTTCACTTATTGCTTACTATGACTTTTGGATACCGTTATGTTTATATGTAGCCAAATTTTTTCAAACAAAGTTGTATTTACTCTTAAGTAGACAATATTCTTGTATATTTGATAAAAACTTTATTGAAAAATTACAAACAAAAAATGTAATTAAATTACCCTAGCTTTACATTGAACCACAGTGCGTCGCCGGCGAACAAATTTTTCACCAAAACGAGTCGGAAACGACGTCGTTGTGATAAATTGTTTTGTTTTGCTAGTGTACGTTGTAATGATCTCATGATCGCATGTTTTTATGTTTTTGTTTTTGTTTGTCAAAATAAAATTTTACTACATCCTTTCGTACGTAATTTTTGTCGAAACAAAAGGGAAGGGAACGAGAGGCCTCGCCCCCCTTAAGTGTCCCGGTTTGGCAACAGGGATATCTGGCAGCCCTAATATTATGTGCAATTTTTTAATCGCTATATCTCAAAAATGGTAATTCTCAGGAAGAAAAATGTTATAACGGTTTTTATAGATAATTTGATGGTCTACACTTTCGTCTCACCTATTTTTGTGACAAACCTTACCGTTTCGCTGAAAAATTAAAAAAAAAAAATTAATTTATGTGACCTTTGACCTTGAATAAATTTTGACATTTCATTCATAATGGTGTTCACAACACTCTTACCCTTTTTCAGCTTTATGCGAATTATTGTAACCTTGAATGTGTAACTTGGCCGGGCTAAGGTACATATTTGTATATATAATTTTACAAGTATTTTTAACACCTCTGGTCTCAACCAACCGTAAAAAAAAAGCGTTAACCATATGGTGAACTTACCGTCAGCAGAGTGGCTGGAAGCTTTCCGCATGCTTGTTAGGCGATAAAATGGTGGTGTCTCGGTGCGCTCAATTAAGCAATTAAGTGTTTCCACAGTTTGCAGTTCTACCATTAATTCGTCCAAAAGACGGTCGGGGCAAGTGCGGGCGAGATACAATGCCACGCGTTTCGCCTATTCGTAAATACGAACACATGAAAATAAATGCATATTAATATACACAAAAGGACATGTTTCAGAAAATGGCTTATTCAAGTATATGGCCCCAATAAATATGTTATATACACAAATGATTGACTGATTCAAAAAAATCGATTTTTCGAAATTTATGTGCGATGCATCAAAATCCTTGCAAGCATCAAGAAAAACATGGTTCTGAAAGTTTCAGTGAAATCGGTGGTCGTTTAGGGGTTGCTCAATACGATGTTCAATTTTTACCAAATCGCGCACCTGATATACATCTTCGTAAAAAATATCGTCTATTTACCACAAATATTGAGCTAAATGTCTGAAATTTCGCACATACCATTTCTAAAGACCATAAAATCGACTTATCTAAAATTGAGTTTAAACAATTTTTCATATCTATATATATAAAATAAAGTCGTGTTAGTTACACCATTTATAACTCAAGAACGGCTGGACCGATTTTTATGATATTTGTTTCTTGAATTTGTCTACCTTCCGAATAGCAGAATAACTATCAAAACAACCGCTAGGTGGCGCTGGAGTCGAGTTATTAGTAAAACCCGTATTTATGGTCCGATTCGCCTCATATTTGAGATGTGCATTGACAATAGGAAAAGAAATACCATTGCAAAAGAGCCTCCAGGTGGCGCTGGAGTCGAGTTATTACTAAAAATCGGGTTTATGGTCCGATTATCCTCAGATTCAAAATATGTATTGATAACAGGAAAAAGAATATGTATATGTGACTAAAAATCGTATTTATGCTCGAATTTATTTCTTTATCGAAATATATAAATTCACATACCGATGGTCCTCTGCAATAACGACGCAACTCAAAATTAAAAAAAATCAAATCCCTTATTACTGTTAAGAGGCTCATGTTTCTAATCCTTGGCTAACCCATGTCTAATCCTAACTAAAGTAAGTAGTGGAAGCGTTCATGGTAAAATTTTTGAACTTGGTACGAAAATATATGAAATCAATCACATATTCATGGAGAAAAATTGGAGCTATTGGAAAAGGGGCGTGGCACCTCATATACAACCGAATTTTTCACACGGTATATCTCTGGAAATGTTCACGCTAGAGTACTGGAACTTGGTATACTCTTGAGAAAAATTTGAGCTATTGTAAAAGCACGTGGGCCCTCCGATACAATACGAATTTTTCATACTGCATTTCTCTGGAAGTGTTCATGGTACAGCACTGGAACTGGGTGCGGAGATATATGAAATCAATCGCATACTCATGAAGAAAAATTCGGACTATTTGAAAAGGGAGCGTGGCACCTCCCATTTAAACCGAATTTTTCATAATAAGTATCTCTGGAAATGTTTTTTGTGGTAAAGTACTGGAACTTTATACCAGCGTGGCACCTCCCATACAAGTCGAATTTTTCTTATTGCATATCTCTAGAATTGTTCTTGGTAGAGTACTGGAACTTGGTGTGGAGATATATGAAATTAATCCCACAGTCATGGAGAAAATATGGAGCTATTGGAAAAGAGGGCATGGCACCTACCATACAAGCCGGATTTCACACTGCATATCTTTGGAAGTGTTCATGGTACAGTACTGGAACTTCGTATGGAGATATATGAAATCAATACCATACTCATGGAGAAAAGTAGGCTCTTTGAAAAGAGGGCATGGCAAAGTACAAACGTACTGACTTTTCCTTATCTTTGAATGTGTATATAATTCTTCTGTAGGTATGTTTGTGAGTGAAATCCTAAATGGCTGGAGGGATTTCAAAAAAGTTGTGTGTGTGTGTTTGAGTGAGTCTCTTTATAGTTTAGTTTCACAATTTAACCCGCCAGTTGGCGCTGGAGTTGAGTTATTACTAAAAATCTTTTTTTTTATGATCCGATTTGACGAATATTCAAAACATGTATTGGAAACGGGAAAGGAAGTCCAGTTGCAAAAAAGAGATGTGAGGTGATGCTGAGGTCGAGTTACTACTAAAAATCGACAAGTGAGAAAAGGTGCCGTGAATGTCAGGCCAAATCGACCTGTTTCACCATTGAGTATATCGAAATCTCGTGTATTACGATTGGCCTAATGGATGTGATTTGCTAATATTATTATGCGTTAGAGCTTCATTCGGACATACCAGGGTTGATTTGTGCAGTGGTAAATCTCAAACCACTACCTGCCGAAATACCTTAAAAGCCAGTTTAATAAAAGCAATTTAATGAAGGTTTATTTTTTTAATTGAATTTAATATAGAACCTGACAGAAAAAAAATAATTTTTCGCTTAAATTGCTTTCGTGAAACTGGGTTTTAAGGTATTTCATCTCAGTTTATGTATGTATATTGTATTTCTGTTGAACAAGGATACGCATCCATTTTGAAATTGCCACCAACTATAAGATAAAGTTTCTAGGGCAAATTCACTATAGATCCGGATCATTGTTGCCGCCGGGGAACTTATTCATGGACATAATACTTTCGTTAGTTTATTTAAGGCGGCAAACGACCACCAAACCATAATCTTAGCCGATGAATTTGCCAATGGATATCGTGGAATGTTGGAGAAAATGTTGGACCAAAACGATTAAATTAAAAATCTAATTATGGGAGGGACGAAGTTCGCCGGGTCGGCTAGTTAATAAATAATTAATGGTTGACTACCGAAAATTAGTTAGTTAATAACAAGTGATCCCAATAGCTTTTTGAGGTCTAAATTGAGAAAAAACTTTAGCACACCTTCAGAAACTATAATAAACAACAAAAACAAAGTGGAATGTTACACCCTTATTCTAGAACCCGAATTTTCGTAATTCGTAAGACTATGTTCAAACAGGCCAATTAGCTGAGGCAATTAAGCTTTAAATTGCGGTATTGAGTCTGGTGTTCACACACACGTCAGCTCCCCAATTAGCGATACGAAATCAGCTGTTAGATTACCTACAGTGATGGAAAAGTTGTTACAATCGTACCTTTATTTAGTTTGAAAGTAAATTCGGTACAAACACACAATTTTAGGTACATTTGGAACGTAGCCAAATAGCTTATCAGGAAATCAGTTCTTATTTTTACGGACATTTCAATGCATTTTCTGGTGCGGGCAACTGGTCTAATAGCTTCCCTCCTTTGTGAAGACGCACACAAATGAATCAGAAGAGTGGTCAAAGTAACGCAACTGTAGTTGATTTCGCCAGATAGATGCAAAATATTTCTTTTTAAAACGTCAGATCGAACAACTAGGAGGAAAGTGGTTCACCTTTTTTACAACATACTTTTGTCTCGCGCTGCTCCAAGAGATTCTTTTCATAGCCAAAAATTTGTTTAATGTGAGAATAGAAGTTGATATGGCATCGATGGGAATCGTTACTTCCTATTTTTCTTTCTATATAAATACATATCTACTTTTAGGTAAAGTTTCCGTAAATTAGGTACAATTTTATAATTTAATTTTCCATCCCTGATGGAATATCAGCTGTAAAATAGGACCAGAAACAAACAGCTGATTGCTCTTTGTTCAATAAACATACCTCCAAGTCAAAATTAAACATACCTGCAGTTGCATAGAGAATCTGACACAAATTGATTGTCAATTAATTATTAATTGGCAATTAATAATTTGAATTTTCGTATGATAAATTGTGTAACAATTAAGGCCTAAATTGGTGAAAAGGTTCTTAATTGCCAATAAGGTGCCTGTTTGAACATAGTCTAATTCGTAGCTACGTTACGAAAAACGAAAAATCGACATGCCAGCTCTCATTTGATTTTCGAAATCAGCTGTATGAAGGAAAAATTGGTTGATTTTACATATTTTGAGGAAAATTAAAGATTCTGATGCATTTGGAATTATAGCAGCGGAGTAAGAACGCGATATGGCAATGGATTCACAAAGGTATGCGTAGCTGTCGGGCATAGTAACCATGGACGCATCTATGTGTTGAATTGTTGAGCCACAAGCTATAATTCCTCCTATGCCTGAAGAACTGGTCCTCAATCAAGTTAATGCAATAACTGCTTCCAAGGCATTGAAAATATGCATTTTGTTAATCCACTACCTGGTTGCGCTTGCTTCTGCCTTCGGCCGCGCTTAGGGATTATAAGCCTTGCTAATGAGAATTCTCTTTTCTGTGTTGCCGGAGAAGAGGGCGGAAGCCCCTCTTATACACTTAAAGGTACACAACATTTATTGTGCATATAACTCGGCTACGACATCCACTGAATTTACAAAAAAAGTGCACGGTTAAAACCGAATTTATTAATAAACTAGAGCTCGGAAATTTGGAACCTTTGTTTTAAATGAAAGTCTAATCCTTTGACCATCCGTGCATGTTAAAGTTTTTAGATTCGGGTCATGTGTTCATGTACAAAAAACTAAACCGTACCCAAGTTTCTCGATAAAGGGCAACAAACATTCTGTTTTGTTCGTTCATATAAAGCAGTGGATAAAAATATACGTACATATGTACATGCAAAAAGCAAATTTATCTTTTTAAAAGCACACCACTAATGATTCCTGCATACACACATCGATTTACATCTTTTTGCTAAATTTTTATCTCGTTTCCGACACGGAATTGTTTTCGTACAAAATTACGCAAAAAAGCTGTCAACTTCTTACTCGTTCGTTTTTAGGCATGCCATTGTTACGAATTTCGAAAGTTCGAAGATACGATTCGGGTTGCAGCATACCATTTCTACGAATCGTAGAAAAATCCGAATACGAAAGTGTTGCAGAATGGGGGTGTTATTTTTTTGTAATACTTGGCTTTGAAGATGTTTCTTTCTTGCAATGGAATGTCAGAGAATGGGCAAATAATGATAATTACACAGACCAACAAAAATGAAAAAAAAATGTTGGTGCGGCAAATGTTAAAGCTATTTTTGATAGATAGATTTGATAGTGCTGATTACGAATCCGTAAGTACAAAGGATCCAACACGTACAGGTTTTGAGAAAATCGAGGTCAAAGTGTCAAAAAATCGGACTTTTGCAGTATTTGAGAAGCTCTAGCAAAGATTAAAAAGGTGATAGAACCTTCCACTTAGGCTTAGATTAAAGCAAGAACCCTCGACTACTATCCTTGAAAATACCATTCCTGCACATTAAATTTATGGTCACTTATAGTCATTTATTGAGCAGTAAAATTTGACTTTTGGAGAAGTTTGAGTCCCTACCGCAATTAAACAAAAGGTGATAGAACCTTCCACTTAAGTTTAAATTAAGGCTTGAACTTTCGAGTACAATCCCTCAAAATACCATCTCTTCATCTTGACCTCAAGATCACTTATAGTCGTTTATTGAACAGCAAAAACTGATTTTGGCAGCATTTTTTTTTCAATAGCACAATTTGCCAGCATTTTTTTTATTGTTCAACAAATGACTATAAATGGCCATCAAGTAAAGGTGCAGGGATGGCTTTTTTAGGGGCAGTAGCCTAGGGTTCTAGCTTTAAGTTAAGCCTAAGTGGAAGGTTCTACCACATTTTTACTCTTTGCTCGACCTTCTCAAATATTGAAAAAAACCCGATTTTTTGACACTTTGACCACGATTTTCTCAAAATCTGTACGTGATGGAATCTTTATAATTACGGATTCGTAATCAGCTCAAAAAAGTCTATCAAAAACAGATTTTACATTTGCCGCACCAACCCTGTGTTATGTATAAGCAACTGAAGACAATTATTGCAAAAATCATTCATATCTTCATAACTGTACTTTTTCTAACATCTTTGAACTTTTTTCGGTGCTCGCTAACTGTTAAAGTAAAGTTTGTTGTTGCTTTTCGTTTCTGGATAAGATATTGTTGTACTCTTGAACAAGAGTCACTCCACTTTTTGCGATGTCAAAGGAAAATCTCTTTTGGTTGCTTTGATCGGTTTGGACTAACCCCTGTTGTTCTTTTTTTAGTTTCTCTTCATTTTGGTATGATCGTCCTATCCGGGCTGCTTTGTGCTATTTCCTTCAGTGTTTCATCGTACAGTGGTAGGCGTTCCTACACGTAAATTGGAACGATTTTAATCCGCCCACATAGCCCCAAAAGTTAAAAAAGTCTTTTAACTCTAACAAATTACAAGTGCGGATGTTTTTGTAGTTGTATTACAGTTTGTGAAGGTGTGCTAAAGGTTCTTCTCAATTTTTACCTCAAAAAGTTAGTGGGATCAATAATTATCAAATAACTAATTATCGCTAGTTAACCATTAATTATTTATTAACGCGAAAAAATGTTTACATAAAATTTTAGATTAGTTGATTTTATGGTCTTTAGCAATGGTATGTGCAAAATTTCAGACATTTAGTTCAATATTTGTGGTAAATAGACGATATTTGTGACGACGATGTATTTCGGGTGCGCGATATGGTAAAAATTGAAAATCGCATTGAGCAACCCCTAAACGGCCACCGATTTCGCTCAAATTCTCAGCAACATGTTGCTTTCAAAGATTTTGATCACCGCACATAAATTTAAAAATCGTTTTTTTTTTAATCAGTCTATTGTACATACACATATATGTACATATGTACATTTTAAGCTGTTATACATGCATGCAATGGATTTGAAGAGGTGTTTTTTAATTTGTGAAAATTGTGCTGTGTTTACCCACTTACATATGGTAAAAGTTCATTCGGCGCCATGCCACTCATGATAACCAAGTAGCGTAGGATGACCTTGAGGTTGTTTGGCCAGAATTGGCAGAGTGTGCCCCAAAGTTCTTCAACGTCACGGGGATGTGAATCCGAAAACTACAAAATATACCACAAAATATAATACATAATTAAATTAATATGCTTGCCAGCAAAGGATTAGTGAATGGAATGAAAACAAATGATTATAAACTCATTATAATTACAAAAGCGTTGGAGTTTTTAAGCCAAAATACACCTTCCGGATCATGATCTTATTTTTCGACGAAACTCATATACATACATATCGACCCCTGATTGCTATTTTATCGGCAGCGACAAAAGATAAATTCTAAAGGAGAGTTTTTTTGAATTCTCCCTTAAACAGTGTAAAAACTTATTTGGATTTAAATCGAAAACAACATTATTGAATGCTCGCTTTCTTTTATTTTTTGCATACCCTATTGTCTAAAGGGGAAATGGCGTTTACGATATTTTTCTTGAACATGCTGAGAGCAAAGTTATCAAAGAATTGGCGCTTGCGATAGTTTTTATGTTGCATAATCTGGACATTTAAAAAATAAGCAGTGCGAGTACTTTAAGGATTGTTTGAAAAAAGCTGAATTTTAAGTCAATTAAATAGTAAACCACTAAACCATGGGTGGGCAAGGCTATTATTAGAAATGAAAAACATTAATTTTATTATTATTCTAATGTACGTGTAAGATAGATATTAAAGAAAATTTAAAAGATCCCTTTAGCCAAATTTACAAAATCCAAAATACAACAGAAAATTTGCAGAAACTTGAAAGTTCGACGAACAGCTGATAGAAATTTTGTTAAGTATCGAGATCTAAAACTATTCAGCTACAGAATCAAATTCATCAGCTGATTGGATATGCTAAAGATAGTATTTCAATTATTGAGAGTGGAAATAATAGTTTTATTTATAGTAAAAATCGAGTCCGATACGTCAAACGTGCTGGAATGACAGTTAAAATCTTGACATAAACCACGGAATGATTCGTTTAGTTCAAAATTAGTTTTGCATGGCTTTAAAAATAGAGGTCGAAAGTGTCTTGACACTCGAGAAGGAACATTAAAATTTACCTCAGCCAGGAGGGCCGGGCTATTAATCAAGCCTGTCATTAATTTTACGATAAATATTATACCTAGCATTTCTCTACGACTTGCGAGTGTAGGCAAATTTATGAGATTGTAATCTGAATCCCAGTTAAAATTACGCAATGCAATTGATTTTGGATTGATTCAATCCTTTCTGAATGAACTTGGTAGCGGGGATTCCAAACAATAGATCCGTATTCTAGTATAGGTCTAACTAAACTGGTAAAAAGAGCTTTTGTAACATAAGGATCTTTGAACTCTTTTGACCATCGCCTTACAAATGCAAAAACGCCTTTGGCTTTATTGACTGAAACATTAATATGATGGTTGAAATTGAGTTTGGAATCCATTGTGATAC